GAGAGAGAGAGAGAGAGAGAGAGAGAGAGAGAGAGAGAGAGAGAGAGTGTCATACACAAACAGCAGCGAAAACGAAGCAACTTTTTTTCGTTCAAATCTGATAAAATGTTAGATTGGTTGCGATTCGACTATGTAAAAACGCATCCCACAAAAATTTCGCTCTTTTATTTTACAAAAAAAAAAATAAAACTTTTTTCATCAGTAATGTAATGTATTTTTTGTGGGGCTCGAACATCGAAATTGCTTCGACTTTGAACAATAAATGCTGTGCTATCAAACAATTTTGGCTTTATTTCTCTTTAGATTTTTTTTTTTTTTTTTTTTTTGAAAGTACATCGAACAAATCTCTCTTTTTTCTTGTTTCTTCTTTTTTCAACACTCGGAGCGTCTCGACGAATCATCATCGACTATGAAAAGCGCCACACAAAATGCGTGCCAATTTTAAACTCAATTTTGTAACGATATATAATCAATATCGGTGATTCGACTTTTAGGTATTGAAATACAAACAATCAAACTTGGGACACTACAGAGGCTTTAACTATTCAGTCACCTATATTGATTGAAACGTGGCTTTTTATTCTTCTACTTTTACGAATAATCAATCTTCCAAGACATAAGTGGAATCATTATACCCCAAAAGACTGACGCACACAAAATTAAATTCCCTCCCATTCGATATAAGTGAAATTAAATGAATGTAATGATTGTGCCTCAAAGGCACAAATGACATTTGAAAACTTTAATGTACATCATGTACATTCAGTTCGTGCAAAAGTGGGGGAAAAAAAGCGAAGAGAAATTGCTCGAAACATTTGTGAATTTCAATTTTATTTTCATTCTCATTCAAATAATTTTATTTCTGAATTCATGAACTCTCTGAAGTTAATTGAACGAGCATATCAAAAAAAAAGTATAGAGTGTTCGATTGTTGACATTTTTATCTTTGCTGTAAAATCCAATATCTCTTCATAAATAAGAAGCAATTCCAGTTAAAAGTCAACAGTAAAAAGAAATTATGATTTTTTTGACGTATTTTTAGCATGGAAATGGATGAATTCCCCCATCGTCGGGCGATTAACTTAAGCAATTCCTTTGGGTTGTGATGTGATGTGTGTATTCAACACTAATTCATTTAATGCCGAATTAATAAGTAACATTTTCATTGCATGTCATGGCACATGATTCATATGTGTGTTGAAATGGGCCGACAAATCAAATACAAATCATTTCTTTATTCGACATTCAATAGAAATAATCTACTTAAGCCATTTCGATTTCAATAAAAAAAAAGAAGTCAAGTGCCATTTTATCAAATTATTGGCAGCATTTAAAAAGAAATAATATTCTACGCATAAAACACCACTTGTTTCCAATAGAAAAAAAATTGTGTTAGTATAAAGTGTTCGAAGAGCAAAGTCTATTTCAATCGTATATTTACAAATAAATAAAAACATGATGAACAATAACAAAGAATGAATTACAGCGATAAAACATAGCTCATACTTTTTATTTATTACATTTTCATTATTTATTTGTCTTTCTAGAAAATACTCAGACTTTTTTCTACACGCTTATCGCTTGCCAGTGTAATCGATTTTATGTTTAATCTAATTGCATATCAAAGCCCATGTGAACAAACGTACAATCCATTTATGATGAATGAGTATTCATCACCATTTCTTTGACCATGAACTACGATTTCAAAAAAAAAAAAAAAAACCATTTAAATGGTTTATGATTTACAAAGGAACAAAATAAATTGGACAGTAAATAGGGAATCGAAGATTAAAGCCATCCATCTATACAGCGCATACAAATTAAAAATTCAATAGCCTGAGGCTTGCGAATGTTGTAATTCAAAAAGCAAAACGAAAATGATAAAAGAATATTAATTGGTACTGCAATGCTTTGCGTTATTCAATGTTAACCGATGGTTTTTATTTGATTTAAATCCAATTTATTCAAAGCATTACACACTGACAGAGCATGAAGATAAAAGGCGGTTACATTTAATAAAATTACAGAGGCACGTTGTGAAGTCACGTGAAATATCGCAACTAACAGTTAGATTGTTTGCCATGAAAAAATGAACATTCATTTTAACTAAAACAACAAACTTTTTTACTTTTCAGACTGAAATACGGTAATTTCGATCAAATTTCAGTTATGTTTAACTTTTCAACCTTATCTCCATATGAAATTTACCAAAAAAGTGGCAAAGATAGTCAGTTCCAAATATACGTATGTGTTTTAATTCTGGAAAAGATCCGAAATTACTTTCGGATTAGATCTATTCCATTTCATTTAGGTAATCTAAAATGGGGTCCATGGGTCAAATTAGTTCCTTCCTTTAGGATTTCTAATATGCAGAGACCACCTTACTAGCTGGATTTTTCGAAAAATATTGAAATGAACCCCTCCGTTTTACCAACGTTAGAAGTTAATTACGTTGATATTATTGCCGTTCTATGCAGTTTTTTTTTCATTCATTCCACATTGATCAGTGAACTTCATTTAATTTTACGTACGCATTTTCACCATAATAAAAGAACAAATTGCATGACTTTGATGACACTGTGCAATGATTCTCGTATTCAATTTAACAATAAACCCAAATGAATTTAATCTGATCTTCTATTTTTTTCATAGATAATATGCATCAAGCAAAAAATATATAATACATTTTTTTGTAGAAATATTATACCAATTTTCTTTGTATGATATGTGCATTACAAAAAATCTTCGATTCTTTTTTAAAATGTGTGCATTGGAGGTTTCCCGGAACAATAATTAACGAATATCATTGAATTTGATGGAGATGACAAAGATTGCACAATGTGCACGTAACTGAATTCAACCAGCTGTGCAATTTAATATGTATGCACTTATTTTTTTAGTTTGTGTAATGCTATCATCAAATAGAGTTGTTAATGTGAAAAAAAAACGTAGAGTTGACGTAAAATCATCATGCTGCTTCAGTTTTTTATTTAAAAAAAATTGTTATTCATTTGAATTATTCGCGTGACTATCGTTTATTTTTACTTTTCTCGATTATATATATCAGAAAATCAGAACTATTGCGATTAGTTTGTTTACGGCGTATAACGAGTGAATACTGTTAAATTTCCTCCGAAATTTCGAATTTCAATAGTTTTATTTTTCAAAGATATTTTTTTCTACTGACCAACAATGTTCACCGTAACGGTATGGCTTGAGATTTTAATGGTCTCAATATGTGTATTATCATCGTGTTCGTTGGGTGCGACTGTCAATGATTTGAAATTGTCAGATGTCGAATGTTCAGCGGTTTTGGTCGACAAAATGGGCGAGCGCATGAAAAATCCCGATTTAGTAAGTGGAATTCAGTGTAAGCACAAACCGAAAAACAAACCAAATACACATTCAAGCAATTATATTTAGTTCGTCTCCACTTTCTAGAAAGTAACAATTCAAATGTTGATCTTTTTAATATTAAATGTATTCTTCAATTTTTAGGCAAATAAAGTCACCACCACAAATGAAATTGATTATAAAAAAGCGACATCAATTTTTGATTTTATCGTCAAAGACACCTATGGTGTCGACATGCCACTTGGGGATTACTGTAAAGGATATGTGACATTAGTCGTGAATATTGCTTCAACTTGCGGTTTTGCAAATATCAACTATGCACAACTAACTATGCTTGATAAAGAATTCGGCGATAGTAAGTTGGAATCGTTTTCAATTGGAACCACGAACCACATTTCATTTATTTGGTTATTGTTTTACAGAATTACGCATTCTCTCGTTTCCAATAAATCAATTTTATGATCGAATGCAGGAAGGTGATGGTGACGAAATGTTATGCCATTTGAAATTGCGATGTGCATCACTTGGAGCTATTTTAGCGAAGGTGAAATATTTTTTTTTTCATTTAATTATTTTAAACTAATCAATTTAAAAAAAAACAGGTGAATGCCAATGGAGACTCGGCCATTCCTCTCTATAAATATCTTAAAGAAGCTTTACCCGCAGCCGATGGAAAACAAGATCTTACGCTCAACTTTGAGAAATTCTTAATCGATAAGAATGGGAAACCATTCAAACGTTATCCGTTTACAGCAACCCCGATGGATATGCTTGACGATATTAAGTCGCTTCTATAAATCTGGCAGGGCTGAAGTTGGTTTGTTTCCAACGTCTTAGAAATTATGTTGTCTTAAAAATTGGATAGATTTTTATTTCACAATTTTGTTTGTTGGTGTTTTGTCTTTATTAAAATCAAAGTTTATTCATTGAATTTAGATTATTAGATAAAGATAGTCCAATGAATACTAGCACTATCATTCAACTCAACATCTGAATGAAACAAATAAAATGGATAGACTATAAAAAGTTATGAAGTCACCTATTGTTTATTTAATTATTATTGAAATATTGCTCATATTCAATTACCATTGGATTTCGATATGAACAAAGTGTACGTGTAAAATAATACAAACAATGACCGAATTGATTTATTCCACCAGATTTGAGAAGTTGAAGTAATTATTTCGATAATCAATCTGCATCTGGCAATTATTATTATGATGGAATTCAGCCAAAAGGTGGCATCATTTTCTCCCCATCTCACCGAAGAGTTTGTTAATGTAATGAACTCTACTGAATAGCATATTTTTTATTTGCATTCAACAAAGTGATTTGTTTGTGCTTTATAGACGATGTTGATAAAACAGACGTTATATTGAGATATTTACAGTCAGCTGAAACAGTACAGGCAGCTATTAGTTTAGGCACTGAAATGGAGCGACAACATGAGAAGTGATTGTATAAAAACACTTCCGTTCTTACATTCATGTTCTATTGTTTTAACCCCATTTCAGTGCCTGAAGTTTGCTGCCAGAGTTGATTCAGCTGGTTGTAAATATCTCAATCTAATGTTTGTGATAAAATTGTACTTGTAAGCACTCAGAGAGATTGATCAACAAATGATTTAAAGCAGCCTATATAATTCTTGGCAAACTCATTGCTAAGTTGAGAGAAATAAAAAAAAAGTTTTCAAAAATAAATTGGCCGTATCATTTTGAGTTAATAACGTTTTCTCATCATTTTCCCCCTATAAATTTCAAACCAACTATGAAGCATTCAGCAAAGTCCAAAAATATATCAAGTAATTCGAGCACGAAACGCAATTCTTTATGCGATTTAGTTCAACATCAAACTTGTAAAAAGATGTATGTAAATGAAGTGCATGCCGAAAAATGATACAAACGAAAAATGTTTTTGTTTGCCAATTAAAAAAAAAACTTTTTATTTAATTTGTTTTTTTAATCGGAACTTTTTTGTTGGTAGCAAAATGAACAAAGGTAAAGAAGGTTTTTGATTCAGTTTTATTTATATGAGAAATCGACATATATACTCTTTGGCCTTTGTTCGATTGAAAAATATAAATCGAAAAAAAAAACCAAAACCATTGGATTTACGCATGTTTTCATTTCAATTTTCTCATCAAAATCGATATTCATTGAAATTTCTTTCACTTAAGGAATTCATGTCTAATATAGTTTCGATGGAAAATTTTATTTTCGAAATTTAAGTGCAAAAACGCGGAACATTCTACAATCATCTAATAAAGTACACTTATATTCGTGAAGATTGGGGTGTATTCGAAGTGCAAAGTCGACGAATTTTCAATTACCAAAAAAAGGAAATGTTTGATTAGTTGAAATTCCTCAATTGTTTACTTAAAACTCAATGAACGGCACTTCAATTTTTCTAGAGTTGTAATCTCACGTTGGATTAGATATAATGATGCAATACTACGGTTCTACGACGAAAAGTCTAAACAGGTTTAAAAGAGTGATTCATCAAATGTATTTGATAAATTATTGAATTGTAATATTTTTTATTTAAAAAAATGCAATAATCAAAGGTCATAATCTATATTAAAGATCTTTAAAAATCATAAAAAAGACAATATTTCTCTTTTTCCCAACTCCATTAAAATTCATTCCAAATAAAATGTCATTTCATTCATTTATAACGACAAAAAAAAGGTAGCAACATATATCTTTCCAGTAGAAAGGTCACATCTTGTGGGAATAGTGTTGTAAAAAGCATACACACTTTTTTCTTTTTGATGATTGGATTTGGGAAACTGATTAGAAAAAAAAGCGCACAAAAAAAATCGATTGTGTGTAAGCAAAAAAAAAGACAATACTATCTTGCTATCAATTCCAAAACGAACGCGACGACAAGTTGATAGTATATTGAAGGGTCTTATATAACAATTCACCTAAGCCACACAAGAAAAATATAAATACTCTGGAGAATGTCCAAAAAGTAAATAGTATCTGTACTGAAATCCGAAAATAAACGCAGTTGAAAATGAAGTTGTTTTTAGTCGTTTTATTGGCTGGTGTATGGTCAACGGTAAATAGTTGTTTGTTTTTATTTTAAATGGTGGATTTTTGATTCAGAAACATTTATTATATTCGCTGATTTATATAGACCGCTGCTCCACATGCAACACCAAACATCATATTCCAAGAATATGGATTAGATATTCCAGTTTTCGACAACTTTCAAAACGTCGGCGAAGTTTTGAAATGTATTCAAACTGCAATCGATAGAGTAGTCGAAGAAAGTGACTTGGGACAAATTTGGGATGAAACCAAAAATAGTATCGATCAGTCGGTCTCTGTTGAATGGCCAAAATGCGTTGCCACCACAAATAAATACAAAAAATTGAAGTAATTATATTTTTTATACTTTTTCATTCAGAATTCATTTATATAATAGTAAGACATTCGCTAATAATTTTCTTAATTTTTCGTTTAAGATGCCAAGCCAACGTCGCCAAAAATGTCGCTGATACCGTTAACGTTTTCGTAAAACAATTGGCTAAAGTAAGTGTTTTAATTAAATGTTTGCGCCACTTGAAAAAAAAAGAGAATCATATAAATTTGGTTATTGAAATGAATAGATAAACAAATGGGAATTGGTGCAAGAAATCAAAGAAAAAGTCTTGACTTGGTGCTTTGAGTCAAATGAAGTTGAAGAATTTGATGCTCCATTCCTGAAAACTTTCCTCGCCCGTTTCGAATGTATTGCTTCGGCTCTCGGTGCAGCATCAAACGCCCTCGGTTTGCAATCATTGTGGGAAAAATCTCAACCACAACTTGTACATCATCTTGGCCAATGGAAACAATGTCAACAAGTTGAAAACACTGTCTTCCGTTATTTGTATGTGAAGAAAAAAAGAATTTGCATTTCTTCGTTTGTTTCGTGTTAAGAATTATTTTTATAAATTTCAAATCAATATTTTACAGCTGCGAAGCTAAAGAAGGAGCAACCACCTTCGTAATTGTCAGCGAATACATTAAATTGGCCGCTGCTCAACAACCAAAATTCGTTGCATCTTTCGGCACTTATTATAAACAAGATTGTACTGGAAAATCTTTTGCCGAGGAAGTGGATGCCGTAGAAGAATTTGATTTTGATCTTGACGTTGAAGAATTTGCAGCCAACCCAAGTTATTACAATCAATTTGCATGTGTTGCCAAATCCCTTGATACAGTGTCGAAAGCTCACGGTTTAGAATCATTATGGGCAAAAGCTCAACCAAAAATTGAACATAGTCTTGGCAAATGGAATAAATGCTTAGCTTCATCAAATCCCGTCTACGCTAAAGTGTATGTATTTGAAAAGAAATGCATATTCATGTTTGTTCCATTTTAAATGTTATTTTAATATCTACCATACAGTTGTCAAGTTAAACCTGGCGTTGAAAGCTTCATATACATGACTAAATACATTAAATTGGCCGATGCTAAAGACCCAAAATTCGCTGAAGCTTTTGCCGCTGATCATAATAAGAATTGTGCCGATCATTCATACGCCAATGAATTGGTTGAAACCTTTGTGGTCAATGGTATTGAGGCTTGTGTTGAAAAGCTTGTCCAAAAAATCAAGTGTGTCTCTGAAGCCATCACTGAATCCGTTCAAGGAACTCATTTCGAACAAGTCTGGGCTGAAGCTCATACTGATTTGACCCAATTACAAAATAAACTTGTTGGCTGTGCATCAAGCAACGAAGCTGTTAAGTAAGTTGCATTTTCATTCCAATAACCAAAGAATATTTAATTGATGTCTGTTTAATTTTTGCATAGATGCATCACTGAAACACTTAAGGAAAGCTACTCACTATTCGCCAAATTCTTAAAACACTTAAAAGAAGTAAGTTGAAAAAGTTTTTGCACAAGAAATAAATTAGCCATATTATTCTTTATTCACTTTGCATTTATTCTTAATTCATAAATTATCAGGCCAACTATGATGCTTACAACAAAATTAAACAAAACATCAAAAAGAAGTGCTACACAGCATAAGTTTGTGGAAAGTATGCATTACTCCGATAGTAAAACTCATATAAAAAATGTAAATGATATTCATCAAAATGAATGAAATTCTGCACATGCTAGATGAAAAAATAAATAAATGAATTTTAAATTTTAAAGTAAAAATTGTTTTTCTAATGAAAAACACAAACTAAAAACTGTTATTTAGATAGTTGAATAGTGTTTCATTTTCAGGCAGGAATAACACAAGTGTCTGTGAACATCTTGGAAAAATGTGTATGCTTGAAGAGTTTAGCGGATTCGTGCATTTCCATTCTCAACAAGATATATGAATGGTAACATGCACAATTTAGGGGACGGACACAAAACCTAGTAAAAACTAGTGTCATAGTTTACTGCTAATATTGCTAATATTGATATTTCACTAGTAAAAATATAAACGTCAAAAGCCAGCTGATCTCAAATTGAACTCATTTATTTTATTTAGTTTTCAGAAATTCTTTGATGAAGATTTGACATGTTTTTTTTTACTTAAAAAAATAAAAATTAAAAAAAGTGCAATGGCGTATAAAAATATGCGCTTTGTCATTGCCAATAACTCGTAGACCAATATTTTGATCAGTTTGATATTTAAGCATTACTAGTTAGGTTACTATTTTCTAGTCTTTCTAATGGTGGCCGTCCTTGCACAATAATAATAAATAAAAATTGGTTTTCAATTTTTGAATTTGATAGCATTTTTCTGAAAATGTGAAAAGGTCCCATTTAAAACTTCTAAACTATAATGACACACATTCTCATATGAGCTATCGTATCAATGTCAATATTTTCCTGATGATTGAGATGAACATTGAGATGAGCTAAGGAGACAACATTAATTGCTATTGAATAATATTTTATCTAAAAATCTAGATATTTGTATAGCTTCTCGTTGGATTTGCTTCTTTTCACGCACTAATTAAATTGGCGATTATTTTCAATCTAATGATAACCTAAATATTGAATGGTGTAAAACATCTAAATTTTGTCCAAATTTTTATACTTTTATAATTGGTTAACCATTTTTTCGTTATCGGTTAGGTAGTTGCTCACTGTGTTCGTACATATTCGAATTACCAAATAACAAAACTTGAGTAGACGAATCAAAATAATTTTAAAATACGATTCAACTCATTTTTATATCAAAAATGTGTCATATTGACTTGCTTCATAAGCTATAACATGGTTTAATCTACGTAAAAAGAGTCTTGTTTACATTTGACCAATAACATTCTTTGTTTTAAATGCCAGAATTATATATATATAAATTTCGCGAATGTGTCATAAATTTGATAAAAAAATGTACTTGTTAATCTATATATTTACAGACTAAAAACAGAAAATTGATTGCCGAAAAAAGGCGTATCGATAAACAAAAATTAAATATGACTGAACATGCGAAAACAATCGATTTGACTTAAATTTTCGTCGAAATTGTAAACAATTCTTACATCACAAATTGCGCTTGACTATCCGTTCGAATCAAAATCGATGATATAAATACTCTGCAGAATATCTGAAATATAAACAGTATCAGTTGTGAAATCGCACAATAAACACCTAAAAATGAAGTACTTTCTGGTTTTATTGGCCGGTGTCGGCTTAACGGTAAATAATTCTTCTTTTCGTTTGCATTTGAGTAGAAGAAAATTTAAATTTCTTCGATGGTTTTTGTAGATGGTGACCGCAGCCAACCCAAAATTGTCGTCCCAAGAATTCGAAGTATTCAGTGAATTTGATCAAAGACTCCAAGATTATGGGGCGATTGTTCGTTGTGTTAGTGATGTTGTAACCGAAGCAGTTGCTGGAAGTGAATTTGAAAGCGTTTGGGAAGAAACCAGAGCCAATATCAAACGTATTATCACCGTTGAATGGGAACAATGCTCAGCACTCGGCAGTGTTGTTGAACAAATCAAGTAAGCTTTCCTTAGCGAAAAATGCATCTGTTTACAGCATTCAAAGTTATTTGTGAACTCTTGATTAATGTTATTTTTTCTCTATAGATGCAAAGTAGCTCTTGTTCAAGTGGGCGTTGAATCCATTCTCAATTTTAGCCAACAATTAATTGCAGTAAGTTCATCATGTGAATTATTTAATGAGATATTAATTCGTTTGTTATTCGATTAGGCGAAAAAATGGGATTTGGTTCGAAAAATAAAAGATAATATTGTTAGTAAATGTCTTAAGAAACGTGACAATTTCTTCGAATTCGATGGTCAAGTTGAACAATTCGACACCTCATTGGCCGAAGAATTCAAATGCCTTGCTGATGTTCTCGGTAAAGTGTCGCAACTGCATGGTTTGGAAGCATTGTGGAAAAAGTCTCAACCACAACTGGAACACCATATTGGCAAATGGAAGCAATGCAGTAACGCTGGAAATACATTACTTGTCGTTCTGTATGTAGATTTGCTGTACAAATTCGTTTATGTTAAGTGTTCACCTTTTTAATTCACCTGAAAAATGTTCAAATTTACAGTTGTAATATAAAAGAGGGCGTTGCCACTTTCTCAATTGTCAATGAATACATTAAATTGGCATCGGCACAAGATGCAACATTCATGGCCGATTTGATAAATCAATATAAGGAAAGTTGCGGCGCTGAATCAAGCGGCGTTGAAATGTTTGCAGTAGAAGGAGTAAAAGAATGCGTTCGTAGACTTTCAAAACGAATTAAATGTATCTCTGAAGCTATTAGTGATGCTGTCAAGGATACAAGCTTTCAAAAAGGCTGGGAAGAATATAAAAATAATTTGGACAAACTTCGAAATCACCTCAAAGCCTGCAAAAATGAACCCACAACATCCGAAGCCGCAAAGTAAGTTTCAATCGACTAACAGCTCTCAAAAAATCTATTAAGCAATTGATACATTTGCTGTCTTGTTCATAGATGCATCAGAAACGAACTCAAATATGCGCATGAGATTTTCAGCAGCTTCCTTTCTAGCGTGAAACAAGTGATTTCTTAATTTTTTGTCCAATTAAATTCATTTCAAATTAAACCATCAATTAATAACCATTTTCTTTTCCATTATTCACAGACTAACATTGATGCTTACAACAGAATCATAGAAAACATAAAAAAGAGATGCTATGCTTAGCTTGCTTTATAATAAACGAATTTATGCAAAATATGCAAATGAAAATAATCGAAGCAAGGACATAAAAAAAGTTGATGTTAGATACATAAAAAAATAAATGACTTATTGCAATTAAATGGATTTGTTTTCTTGGTACCGAAATACATTTGACATCTGCATTTCAGGAACTGCTCCTCTGAGAAGGAGGAAAATGAGGAGGAGGATCCCCTTCTACCTTCTAAAGGGAAGAAGAAACGTTTTTTTGGAGTCAAAAAGCCATTTTTTTTATACGTTTTTCTCTATTAAGCTTCTTTCAAAGTAAAATAACGTGCTTTTATGAGAGAATGATGAAATAACATTAAGAAATGTACTACTGTTCCAAAGCACGACGACAATGACAGCTGGGCAACGCAGCAACTTCATTATGGTTGTCACTGTTTATGTTGGGTGGCACAAATTTGTACCATTTTTGATTTAGGCGATCGAAATTTGTGCCATTTTTTATTTTATTTTTATTTGTGATGGCAACCGCACCATGGCGCTACTGTCAACGTTGCTTGTCATCGTCGCGCTTTGACTGTTTCAGACTATCGCGCCTAGAAATTTAAATTTATTGAACAAATTGGAACTAATGACATACTTTGTCAAAATATCTTGACCTACTATATCTCAAAAATTATTTTAAAGTAAATAACAAAGAACCAATTTTTGGAGAGATCATTTTTAGGAGTTATTTTTCCCTCGCGTCAATCAAAATTACCCGAATGACTAGATATTTTCCTCGGTCAGTTCATTCGTAGTCGAAGTACGTAAATTATCTTAGGCAATCGGACTGAACATGACTCTTTGGAGTTAGGCAATAAAAATGCGTTGAAAGCTATTATTTATCGCTCTCAGAATTGCTTGATGTTGAATTGTATTAGACATATTAATTTAAATTATTTAGAATAAATCACCAAGGCGAAGGAACGCTGTTCGGTGCAGTTATTATTATTATTAAGCTGTAAAATGCTACAAATTTCATTTTTTCTTCTTTTTTTAATTACGAAAACTGGTTCAAAATAAAGAGTTTGGCATCTTTCAAGTTTTCAACTCATTTGTGATGTTTTTCATGTTTCGAGTGATTTATATATTGTAAAAATAACATGTTTTCATTTTTCTAAACTCTCAAGAACTGTTGACATATATGCTGGCGTAGACATTTATTTCGTGAATAAAAAGAACTCATTTTGATAAATTCGAATCACAAAATATAGATTTATTGCAACAGAATGCAGCATGAGCAAAACGTGTATATATAAATCACGTTACGCTTAGTTCACGGCACATAATCCTGAGAATTCTATTACGTGCTTCATTCGTTCGGATTACGGTTTAAAAGTCATATGTCACCATTCAAATAAAAGGGTTGAATAAAGTGCATATTTTGTTACTTTTTTCTTCTTCAGTAGAATCAATAATTGGTCAAAATATAATTCATGTTCATAACATGCACTTGCTTTTGTTTATCATCATATTGACATGATGAAAAATAATTCATTGATTAATGTTGTTTTCGAAATGATTTCGATCAGTGTGATGTGTCATCAGAATGATATTCTATTTTATGTTTAAATTCAATTTACAATGCAAACTCAATGGCAAAGAGAATAACAAAAAGAAAGAAATAAACATATGGAAATGTGATCTTGAGAATGTACTTGAGATATATGGAATGATCTAGACATCCAGACGAGTTTTTTTTTGTGAAATGAAAAAAAAAAAAATAAGAATAAGAAATGTGCAAAGAATGCGAGTTGATAACATCACGGCCAAAATGTCATTGTACATTTGTGAAATCATATGTGTAAATTAACTGTGAAATGATGTACGATTGATTGATTCGATGAACGTCAAAACCGTCGTCGTCGTTTGTTCGGTGGCGCGGACCGGACCGTCTTGTGAATTCGGAATATTCAAGCAACATCAGCAGCAAATGTCTTGTTCAAAGCAAGACATTGATGTGATTTTAATGCGAATGAACGTTTGAGCATAAAGAATATCTATCATCGAAATAATGTATGAGGCAGTTGTATTATCCTTTCGATACGGATGACATAACAAACCTATTATATTTGTACATCATCATATTTCCTCTGTTCGCCTCCCTTTCAACACCGTCTCCGTTTCTGTCGTTGTCGTCTATATCGTTGTCATATTCATTGTACTTGTTGTTGTTGTTATCAGTGATGGTGGTGAATGGCACATGCAGCGATTTCAATATATAGACTGAATCCACACTCAACACTTACTATCTGAAACGTGTTGAGTACATTGAATGTGGCGTTTGCCGCCGCGGGGTTCCATCATTTCCAATCGGCATTCCAACGATAAGACGCATGGGTTCCGCATGCAACAGTGCTCCGTATTCAATTGATGATATTGAATTAATCTGCAAACGCAACAACAACAACCACATTCCAAACGGAACGAAAAAAAACGCCACACAAATATACTGACTTTCATGAAACTATTTATTGGCACATATATTTTCAATATTATTATTTTTATAAATTCGCATAAAATGTCTGTTTTTCTCTTTCAATCTTGTTTTTTTGTGCATATTTTTCTTGCGGCTTACTTTGTGTATTTTATATTATAAGAATTCTATTTTATTTCCCTGAAAAGGTGATTTAATTTCTTGCGAAAATATTAAGTCGCCGTGCCGTGGTGGCTTTTGGGAGTGAAAGAATGTTTTGGTTTTGAAAAAATTAGATCAAAAGGAATAGCTCTTAATTAGCAAATAACAATTGAATTTATTAGTAAAATACACAACCAAAAACCAACCATATACGCGCAAAATGTACATGTCTCTCATTTATTTTGATTGTGGTACGATGGTTTTTACAAATGCAAGGCAGAAATCAAAAGAGGATCAAAATAGACCTAATAACATATTTCGCAGCAATACAAACCCGCAACAAAAACGAATTGTGGTTTTTTGAGTGTCTATTTGTTGAACTGTGTTGCGATGTTTGGTTGGCGTGCATTTATACTGAGAAATAAATGTGCCTTTCTCCCTCTCTCACTTTCTCTTCTTCGCAAAAAGGGGAGTTGGCACAACAAGAAAAAAATTCACTGCTTTTTTCAAAGGATTTAGCTTCTTATGTCCTATATTCTTATGCCTATCTTTTCCTTGTGCATTTTTTCTCTTCTGTTTACTTGATATATAGCATTTTTGCTTGAGTTTCTTATTTTCCCATGCGTTATATCCTATTTATAGATCCCAAAAAAATAGAACCAACGAAAAAATGTACGTTTTGTACGCGCAAGATGGAAAGAGAGAGAGAGAGAAAAGGCAGCCTATGTAATTGAAAATGTTTCTTGCCAGTTTTCCCTATTAATTTTTTTTCGTCGTTTTCTTTTCCTTTGAATTGACGTTTAATGCATATATCTGCAATTTTTTTTTTCGCCTAATAACATACGATGAGAAATGAGCCATACGAAGGAAAGAAAAAGGAAATAGAAAATGTGGGCGAAAAAGAAAGATGAACCCGATTCAGAGATAGATAGATAGATAGAGAGAGAAGGGGAGAAAAGGAGAAAGAGAATAGGCAAGTGGATAAAAGCGAAAAATTCTTCCAAATCGCATTTTAACTGTTATATACGACGTACTTTCAATATTACATAGTTATTTTCGATGCAAATATTAATCCGAAATCGCCGAGAGGGTTCAATTATTGCAGCTTCAACTTATTCAACTCTTGCTCTGGATGTTGTGCATACTTTTTCATGCGCCGTCAACTCAAACCCATCCCATTTCATTTTCCATAACACTTGTGAATCACTGGAGTAATCAAAAACTATAGACTCAATGAAATTTTATATGCAAATTGTGCCATCACAAAAGAGAGAGAGAGAGAGAAGCTTGCCTGCGTCGAATTGAAATTGTCTTCACTTTCTGCCAATTTCACAAATGAATTTTGCTCAAAAATCAAATTTCATCAAAAACGATGATCTTCAATACGGCATATATCCACGAATCGATCAGCTTTTTAATATATATTTTATGTTATGTACGTGTATGTGCGTCTGTGGCATTCTTTGAATAAAACTGAATTTATTAACGGAAAATTAAATCAAATTTCATTCGAATTTACGATTATGCTATGATTGGAGTGCTGTTGTTATTATTACAAGAGACAAGATGTACACGTTTTTTATTTGACAAAATTAACAACATTTTTAAGTCTTCGCGATGAGTTTCATTTTTATTCGCAGCGAATGAGTGTTACGAGCGAAAGCAAGCAGCATAATTTACATTGAGAAATTATTTCATGTTTTATGTTTTTCGTTCGTTGAACACATGCATATTATGGTATAATGCGTATAACTGTGTCGCGGAAAATGTGTGTGACTGATTTTGTGAGTATGTGGGTGTGCGGCGCTTCGTGAAAATCTTCCATTTATTGTATTAAAGCAAAGGGATAGATAACTAAATAAACAATAAAAAGGCATAGAGATATTGAGACGAAAAATGAACGAGCCATCCAAAGTAGCAACAGCATTAGCAAAATAGAACCAACGATATATCTATATTATTATTTTTTCCCGTTGAATCTCTAAAAGTAAAGCCGATAAGGTTTTATCATTATGTTCAGTTCCAGTATTTTCTCACATCTCACCTCTCCCTCGACGAATATTTGTTGAACAATATTTATTGTGCATGTACGACGTACGTATATTAGCTGTTTCGTGGGTTGCTTCAATCTCATCGGCTTTGAAAGCGACAGATAGAAAAAAAGCGTTAAACAGAGGTCGACGAACAGGCAAAAAATCGGAAACAACGGAAAAAGATATAAAAAAAAGTTCGAATTAAATCGAATATAATTCTAAATTGAGTGGAAATTTTTCAGAAGCTTTTCAAAAGATGGGATAGATTTTCACATTTTTACGGTCGAAGCAGTAAATCGCTTTATTATAATAACAGCAAATTTTTTTAAAAAAATTTGATGTAGCATCGATGTGATACACATCGTCATCGATGATAACAAGGAACAAAAAAAAAACAACAACACGAACATTAGCGGCGATAGAAAAATGTATATGAAAGCATTCGTTC